CCTGGCAAGCTTTTGCGAGAAACGAATATCCGAGAACAGACAGGATTTCATCTGGGTCGCGGCTGTATTGAGCGAATCTCCTTGTTGCTGCAATTGCTTAACTTACGCTTCAATGTTTTCCCTGTCAGCCTTTGCATGGTCGCTTTCTGAGGGTTGATTGTCACTCAATAGTTGAAAATAAAAGTAACGATATTTATTTGTAGGTTTATTTATATCACGCCTCGTTGACCAACGAACGCGGTTCCTCAGTTGGTCGCAAAGCTTTACTTGGTTCGCTTCTGCATAAGAGATTCCTTCGAATTCGTTACTCGGCGGAGGTAACTGTACTCGCGCTTCTGGTCGGGTACTATTCCACAGTGAGCTAAGCATATTCCTCAAAGCCCGCATTGAGTTTCGTCAGGATTATCCCATTTCTGGTACAATTTCGTTGAAGATGAGAGTGTAGAACGCACTAAATGGCTCGCAAAATGTGGGCACTGAATGGACAGCCGGAGCAAAGTTGTGATTTAGGGAACGTTGATGATGTCTGTCCGAACATACGACCGATGCAACAAGGTTGCTTGTGGAAGATATCGGCAATCGATGCTACGAGTTCAAACGAGAAGGCTTCGTTGGTTATGACACGTGTTGCATATGCCTATCAGTCGTCTATCGCACCGTGCCTTATTGACATTCGCTGATCCTTTGTAGAAGAAATCACCATGAATTCAACGGATGACACCGAGACAAGGCTTTAAAAATGCACATTGATTAAATGAAGTCTTTCAGATTGAGCTTCGAAGGATCCAGTAGCTGGTTTGTTGGAGACACTGAATGACAGCACCAAACTGATAGCAGTGTCGTTGTTGTGTTGTCACTTATCAATCCGGGATCCTTGAAAGGTGTGTATGCAGTTATGCTGTGTTGTGTATGAGCCATAAAAAGTTAACTTTTGCTCTTCGTCAATTCAAGTTCATTTCCCATCCACCTCAAATTCGTACATTGTGTCCATCATGAACTGGACAACAATCAGCAATTTTCACTGTAGTAGGATGATAACTCTTGCACTCTGTTGTGCCCCCTCCCATTTTCCTTTCCGAGTCGATCATGTCCTCAGCAGGCGTCAATGCTTGATATTAGCACTCTTTTAGTGTCTTATCTTAGGGCTTTTCATCATAGCGATTTTCATTAATATATGAAAGATGGAAGCAGTGATGATCGGGGTATTCTTCTTTCGCACGCATCTGTTGAGTGCTGCCAGTTATAAGAGGCTGTTAATTGCTACCATGGTATGATCTTGTGTGTTGTTCTCATCTGTTGGTTCTCCCTCTGATTGACGGATTCTTTCCGTGAATTGAGTTGTTTCCATGATGATATGATTCTTTCTTCAACACCGTTCTCAACCGCGTTTTGCTCTCTTCCCGCACGCTTATCTGGTAGAGCTGTGACCGGCACAACGTCAGGTGTTGTCCCTGCTTCTGACGATCCGTACGCTTTCCAGGACGATGCTCAGACTGCCGGTCCTTCAGCTGGCACCTCTGGAGTTGATACAACGAGTACCACCAGTGGCCTCTCAACTGATCGTTTGCGTCAGTTGTCCACTGCTGTGAGCCGTGTATTTCAAGAACGACGCGTTGAACAATTGCCGGTCCAAGAAGTCAGTTAACTTCGGTTTCCTATGACTCATTGTTTCACTCGTTTGTTCATAGTTTTTGCCTTCTGGCGCGTGATTTTAACTAAGAGACTTATCACACTTTTCGGGCAAAAGAGAACGCACACTTTCTTCGTTGTTAAGGGAACTGAGATCGTTTTTTAAATTAATAAGTGAACCAACTAACCCTAATGGCAATCGTCACACATTATATTGTTCTTACCGCCCAATCTGTGGATGTCAGTTGAACGGCGGTATTACCGGATTGACCCATCAATGGATATCTGTAGTGCTAGATGACTGATTTTCTACACATTTCTTCATCTTTTAAATTTTACCACTGATCATTATTTTTGCCTTCTCCTCTTAACTACTTTTCTTGCATATCACGGGTTTGTTTTGCTATTTTATTTGTCTTTTGTAGCTCACTTCTGTCATACTGGGCCAGGGAGCTGGATTCACCAAGGCAGAAATTCGCGCGGGTCTTGAAGCCATGCACGCTGACAATCGCATTATGCTTACTTCGGACGATGTATGGCTTATCTGAATACAGATCAAATATTCTGAATTTATAATTCATTTTAATTGGTCGAACCTGTTTTTCCTGACCCTAACATTACCCTATTTTCATTGTAACCCCACCAGATTTGCTACCCCATATATTTTGTTGATAGTATGTATGTATGTATGCACGTCTTTGTGAACTGTAGTGGTGAGATTCAAGTAAATAAACAGTACTCATGGTTAAATAGATGTGTTTCTTTATTCTTGCAACTTATAGTTTAAAACATCATAATTAGTGCTTACTACCCACTCAGTAATGATTAGAAATCAAAGATGCACGGTTTATTACCAGTAATCCACGACGGATAGTTTTAAGATCTTGTTGCAATGGACCGCGAAACAATACAGGGGAGCAACAAAGTAAATTAGGGAGAACGCATTGATTAACACATGAGAATAAAACTTATTGAGGAGTGCGAAATTGTTTGAGCTTTCGGAGCTGAAAGTAGAGACGCCGAGGTTTTCCCATACAGTTCTGAATGTGTCGACCACCGATGATTATCGATAGTAACACCCAGATATTTGGCTGAGGTCACTCTAGACAAAAGGTTACTATTAAGGGTTACAGAGTTTGACGGGAATATAGATCGGGAAGAACTAAAAATGCACTTGGGTGTGTTAAGATTAAGGCCAGACTTGTTTGAAAACTGTTAGATTCTGGGCAGATTTTCAGTGAAGGAGGAAGAAGAAACGGTCTGACTTAGAGCGACGTAGTAAGCATTCTTTTGGATATGAGCAGGATGTGGAACTGAAAGATCACCAATGGAAGCAGAGAAAAGATGCGGAGAGAGGACAGCACCTTGAAGCACACCAGAGGTATTCCTGGCCAGTTTTGTGCACTGAATTCTTTCAGTGAAATAATCAGAAAGCTGTCTCGGAGTGCCAAAAAGTTCAAGCTTAAAAAGGAGGGATGACCGGGACACCGAATCAAAAGCAGACGAATAATCAAGACAAACGCAACGGACAGATTTGATCGAGCTGTTCAATGACCAGAGTAGACACCGATATAGATATTTAATGCATCACCAGTAGAGGTGTTATCTTTAGGCCTACATGTGTGTTTATCTGACTGTCATGTGTTAGGAACCACCAACTCACAAATCTGGCGCTTCTGATCATTACGAAAACTGTATTCTGTGGAATCTTTTACATGTCCTTTTCGAATAAGGCTCAGTGCAAATCGTGCATAATTTTGTTGTTGCCACTGCAGAAAAATGAAATCTTTTGAAAGGGAATTAAATATCTGCCAATTTCGAAGTTAATTTGCCTCAAAATGCCCAAAGTCACCACGATTTGGTCTGTACTACTTGTCGTCCCCTTAGCTATGTTTAATTTATGGTCAGTATCGCCGTACAAAGGCAGGATTACTCTGGTCATCTACCCAATGGTTGCATTTTATTGGGTTCTGAACGGAGATTGTAAGTTATCAAACATTTTCTTACCTAATTCCCAGCCTCTGAGCTTCGTGTATTATTCGATCACAATTGAAGTGTGGAGAATGAACGAATGTCCAATGAGCAAGACTCGCACAATAAGACCATTACACATGTCCTGGGGTCTTCGAATGAGCCTGGATCATACTGTATATCAGATTAGTCATGCACCCGGTCTGCTGATCGTCGCCCGTGTAGCTCAGGCGGAGAGAAATACGGACAGAAATGTTCATCGGTGCTTAGTTCCAGCAAGAGCCAAATAGCTTTCCTGCACTGTTTATCGGTTGTTCTGCACAAAATCCCATCACAAGCGCATTTATTGTAAAGTACTTTCCAGTTTATGGTTCTTTTGATCATCAAGAGCATGTTTTTAGTGGTCATCATTTGAATGATTGAGCAAGGTCTTCTCAGAAGATGACGATCGATCGACGCCTCTTAGCAAGAATGCGTACCAGGCACTGCTCTGTCAGATCATCTTCATGCCTTGCTACCAGTTACGTATTTGGTCCGAATGTCTCAGTCATTTTTGGATAAAGTCTTCTTTAGGATCCCTATATGATTAAGTGGTAATACTGTGAACCAACTGTTATTACTAACCTCAAAGAATTCGCCACAAACTGTTTTCCGTAGCTTAAGTAACTAGAAGAATGACCGAACAGGAAAGTACTACATTGTTAAATCTCGGTAACCGGCCTTGTGCATTCACCCAATGTGTTCAGACATTCGTAATCAAATCATCAGATCTGTTAAGGTCAGCTGCACCTCACTCTACATCCGAACAGCTCAGAATAAAAGCTTATCAGGAAGTTCTTATTAACCCTATAAATCATTTGTGTGGCAAAGGATACCTTTCTCGAAGTACGATTGTTGGACAGATGTCACGCCTGTTTCTTCCGTTCATCCCTTAATCCGAGAGTGCCTCCTCGACCTCATTCTCGAATGGAGTTGGTTTGCGCATCCTTTGTTTTTCCGAACATCTGTTGTTCTCTCCCTGAGTCACATAGTCTTAAAAGCAAGTGCGATTGTTAGAACATCTTCGGGACAGCGAGTTTCGCAATACGTATAAGGTTGTGTTTTGTTCTGTTTTGGAAGTTGATTTGCTCAAAAATCCTGCTCACATTAGTCGTCGGTTAGTTGTTACTGCTTAGCATTTTACTAGACCCGTAGTTTGTAAGCAGTAGCAGAGATGAGTTTAAAAGAATTGAAATTGATATGTGCTTCCTGGTTTGAGATTGGTTAGTTGAGCCGGTGGAACCTCCATCGTATCGCGTATCTGTTTGGGTTGCATCTGTAAAGTGAACACTTCTTGAATCGTGAATCGTTTTTCTGTACAAAGTTGCAGGTTAGATGTTAGACTAGGAACAAACTTGATACAAGAGTGGATTGTTTGTAATACACACAATCTCTAGTCGTTCAAATGCTATTCGGTTCAACTAAGGTTCAGAAAAGCAATGTATGTGGAATGTTTGCTGTTAGAAAACGTGGCGATCGGATATTAATACTACTTGCAGCCAATGAACCGCATTGGTGGGTAGTGTGTAATTATTTTGATCGGGTGAACTATCGAAAAACCGACGCGTCGGTGGATCAGACTAGGGTTTTAATCACGGGGATCTCACATCTAAAGTGTGAGTACTTGATGATCGGATGGCTGGTGAAACTTTTTGTTTACACTTGGTAAAGCCGTTAAGTCAGACTCACTGCAATCATTGGTTTCATTTCCCGTAACCCCATTGAACAGAGATACATGACCACGTGCACACACGCACACTTATTCCGATACCATTATGTGGTAGAGGTCGAGGAACGGTAAGAATTGTGGAAACAGAAACACGCGTCTGATTTGGTCGCATTGTGTAGTGGTGGTGGTGATTCCCCTTTTGATTGTTTGGTAAATGGCTAACTGGAAAGGAATGCTGGTTACTGAGGCAGTGGGCAGGACATGAATGACCGCCGGAGTTGAGCCAAACTGAGGACACAAACAGCTCCAATTGCGAAGGTAACGCCAATCAAGTAAGATTTGAGGTGGGGCGGGGGCTGGAGGTGAGAGTTAGTGTAGAATGTGTTATAACGTTTGAGTAATTGAGCAAAACTGCTAATACTGGCCTCCATTAGAGACTTTTATATGATGAACACGTGGGAGAATGTGTTTTCAGAGTGGGATTCGGAGGGAATCGGGCAATAGATAGAGAACAAATGAGATGGAAACGAACGTGCATTTTTACATTGGACAAAACGTTCTCCATAAGTGAATTCACTGCGGATGAGAACTAACCGACGACGATGATCTTTCAGTTGCTATACCGTATTCTGTACTCCAATAGATTGGTTGTATTCTCTTATGGGAGTGGTTACGACGAATGTGGGGGAGTGGGTGGTCTGTGCGTGCACAGGGAACTCACTTGCATTGGGTTCTAACCAGCAGGAATTATACGGTGTCAATCGTGATTATGCACTCATTCAGTTACGAACAAAATCAGGGAGGTAAGAAGGTGAATGGGAAGGGACAGCGGGTTACAAAAGTAAATATGAATGAATAGGGTTGTGGACCTGTTTGCTACGTGTTACTAACAGTGAGGAGAACCATCTAGTGGCGATGCCTGTTTCTGTGCGCCTGTGTGGTCACGGAAATTATTGAACCCAGCGTGAACTCATTCTCTTAAGCACGTGTTTTTGCTTGTTTTTTTGCCTATTTGGAGAAAACTCGAAGGTGTCTCCCAATTTGGTGGCCTGCATATATGTTGTGTTCGTGTTCGTTAGTGGGTGCATTTGCACAAGGAATGAACAGTACGAGCTTATAGAACAAATAGTTGCCCTTACGGGAAACGCCCTTGTAGCAAAACCCTACTTACTATATTGAAAATGAAAACAAATTTCAGTGAAAAAGCGATTAACAATAAAAAATGAAGTAATTTTACGTGTGGCATATTCAGCCACAAGCAGTGATAAACGGGGAAGCAATACGGAGACAGGGTGACGGTAAGGGGTAGTTCAATCCGATTTGCTGACAGACTGAATTATTTCAAATTATTCCAATAGCAAACGAATAACCAACTGATTAAAATTCAAACATTGTATTTCATTCCTGGATTATTTTCTTCGCAACCGTTTGTGCAAGAGGGCTGCTATCTTTCCAGGAAAATTGACGTATCACCTGAATGGTTTGCACCAACTTAAATCGGATTTCTGAAAATCCCTTATCAACAATTATGGGGTTGTTTTGAGTGCCATTTCATTAGCTTCCTTCTGAAAGTATGCTCCTCTCCGTAATATTTTCTTTGTCTTTGTATAATCCAGTCCGTACAATCGGTATCAATGGAATGCGAAACCGGTTCTTCTAATACGGATTAATATATTATCTTAGTTGGAACCCGAAGAAAACAGTCTATTCGATTTGTTAGGAGCTCACCTCATTCTCAAATGGAAGCGTCCTCCATTTTGATGAGTCGGTTGCTGTAGTTCTTAGAAAGCATATGACTGAATTTTTTATAACACACCTTTTGTGGAATGAATAGTAGATGGGACAAATCACCCAGTCAGGAGGACCTGC